CACCCCTATAGTCACCAGAATGGAGGTACGCACACAGCAAGGGACCAACGAAAAGAATGTCCACACCTCTATCTCTGCGGCTTTGTCAGGGGTCCGTGGCTGCTCTGATCCTTTGCCCGCTTGGCCCCCCACAAAATGGCGGCTCCTGGAGCGGCTGAGCATCCCGATCCAGGAAGCAATTGATTTCTTACTTCTGCCACAAACTCCCCAGCTGTAAGTCTTCCAACCTTCTAGATATTCCTTTGGTTCAGAGTACTGGGACAATTCTCTGAGCCTTCTTGGTCCTGTATTCTGTGTTGTTCTCAGCAGAGCTCATCACTACACTTCCACCCAATCCACCATCTTTTTCCGGAAGTCTCCCTTCCATCTTTTGATGTGTGTTGCATCATTCAGTATTTTGCCCATTGAATCCTTCATTATTGCAAGTTGAGGCTTGAATTTTCTTCTTTAGTTCTTTCAGCATGAAAACTCCAAGTCTTTGCACATTTCAGTATAATAAGTATCAAGGGTCTTCTTGAGTTGTCTTTTGAAATTTTCTGTTCAACTCTTTTGCATCCTCATTTCTTCCCTTCACTTTAGCTTCTCTAACTACCAGAAGTTCCATGGGAGAAAGATGAGGCATTCTGCTCCCGTAAAGATTTACAGCCTCGGAAACCCTTTGTAGGGTCACTATGAGTCGGAACTGACTCCATGGAACTTAACAACAACAACAACATGCTTAAGAGCAGAATTCAAATTTTTGTCTTTTCTGTCTTTTCCAACTTTTTAATGACCTTTTGTTTTTTTCCTGTGTATTGCTCTTGACATCATTCCACAACTATTTTGGTCTTTTGGCTCTTATTGACTTGTCATTTTCTTCATCTTTAGCCACAATATGAGCAATTGCTAGTCTGTTCTGCAGTCTTCCCCGCCCTTGTTTTGGGTGATGATATTGAGCTTTTCTATCGTCTCTTCCCACAGATGTTGTCAATTTGATTCCTATGTATTCCGTCTTCTATGTTGTTGAAAAAAATAATTTACAATGAATAAGACTTTTGTCTTGCAAAATTCTATCATGTAATCTCCAGTAGGATTTCTATCACCAAGGCCATATTTTCTGGATGCCTGGTACAGTGCTTGCAGGATAATATGCTGGACTGCAAGGTCAGTTTGAGCCTCAAGGTTGGTGGTTCAAACCCACTAGCTACTCCTCAAAAATCCTATATAGGGTCTTTATGAGTCAGAACCACCTCAACAGCACTTAATAACAATCCTTCCTCTTTGTTCCCAACTTTCACATTCCAATCACCAGTAATTATTAATGCATCTTGATTGCATGTTTGACCAATTTGAGACTGAAGAAGTTGATGTTGTTGTTGTTAAGTGCCGTTGAGTCGGTTCCGACCCATAGCGACCCTGTACAGGGTTTCCGAGGGTGTAAATCTTTACGGGAGTAGAAAACCTGATCTTTCTCCCGCGGAGCAGCTAGTAGTTTCGAACCGCTGACCTTAAGGTTCACAGCCCGATTCGTAACCACTACGCTACCAGAGCTCCTGAAGAAGTTGATAGGACTCTTCAATGTCATCATCACTTGCTTTAATGGTTGGTGTGTAAATTCGAATAATAGTGGTATTAACTGGTCTTTCTTGTATGTATATGGATATTATCCTGTCACAGACAGCATTCATTATACTTCAAGATTGATCTTGAAATGTCTTTTTTACAATGAATATAACACCATTTCTCTTCAATTTGGTATTGGCGTAGTAAATCATATGAGTATTGAATTCATAATAGCCAATACCAGTCCATTTCAGTTCACTGATGCATAGAATAAGGAGCTCTGGTAGCGTAGGGTTACGAATTGGGCTGCTAATCTCATGGTCAGCAGTTCGAAACTACCAGCTGTTCCACAGGAGAAAGATGAGGTTTTCTGCTCCCGTAAAGATTTACAGCCTTGGAAACCGACTCCATGGCACACAGCAACAACAATACTTAGAATGTTGATGTTTATGCTTTCCATTTCATTTTTGACAACTTCCAATTTTCCTGGATTCATACTTTGTATATCCCACATATTATTAGTGGATATTTGCAGCTGTTTCTTCTCATTTTGAGCTGCGCCCCATCAGCAAATGAATGTCGTGGAAACTTTGTCCGTTCACGTCTTTGTGACCAACTTTGCTTAGAAGCGGTAACTCTCCTTCAGTCATATTTTGAGTGCTTTCCAACTTGAGGGGCTCATCTTCTGGCTCCATGGCTGACAATGTTTCACTGCTATTCATAAGGTTTTCACTGGCTAACCATTTAGAATTAGTCTACCTCTCCTTCCTAGTCTGTGTTAGTCTGGAAGCACTGCTGAAACCTGTTCTCTATGGGTGACCCTGCTGGTTTTTAAATACTGGTGGTGTAGCTTCCTGCATCACAGCAACATGCAAACCACCACAGTATGACAAACTGACAAACAAGTGGTGGTTGGTTATGTGCCGTGGAGTCGGTTCTGACTCATAGCGACCGTGCGTAGGGTTTCCAAGGTTGTAAATCTTTATAGGAGCAGAAAGCCTCATCTTCCTTCGGCGGAACCACTGGTAGTTTCAAACTGCTGACCTTGAAATTAGCAGCCTGATTCGTAACCACTACACTACCAGAGTGGTGGCTGGCAAATTAGTATTCTTTAAGTGAATCTATGTCCTGAGAAACTAGAGACACCTATCTTAACCATTTTTTAAGTTTTTAATACATGTTTATATATCATGAACTGTGAATAGATGCAGTCTTGGTTAGAATAAACCAAACCCAAATCCAATGCCATTGAATCGATTCCGACAGAATAGAATTGTTTCTAAGAAGACAATAAATCTTTATAGTAACAGATATCCTCACCTGTCTCCCAAGGAGCAGATGGTGGATTTGAACTACTGACATTTTAGTTAACACCCCAACTAAAGATCCTTTAAAATTGGTTTTGATTCTTTCTAAAAAACACAAGATATATGAGTGGAGATTGCACAGAATGACTGATATAATTGATATCACTAATTGTACATCTCAAAAGTGTTGCGTTGGCAAATGTTGTGTTATATGTATATATTTTTACAACCATTTAATTTATAAAAACATAATAATACTGATAATGCTATTTTTAGTTGACGAATTTCCTTGAAATGTATACCTTCTCTATGCTCAAAAGTGCTGTTTACCAGTAATATGCAAATATAGACTTATAACTCTGGATCTTAAAGGAACTCAAACACAAGGAATTTATTTATTTATTAATAATATGCTAGAAATTAGAGTGTTCTTTTTACCTTTCAATTCAACATTACTGTGTACTGATTTTATTTAGGCAGCAGCTGCCAACAAACGTCTCAAAGATGCTCTCCAAAAGCAACAGGAGGTTGCAGATAAACGGAAAGAGAATCAGAGCCGTGGAATGGAAAGTGCTGCAACTCGAGTGAAGGTATGGGGCAACTATAACTGCTATTTCTCTTCTGTACATTAGAGGTAGGAAAAATGCAAATTAGCTTTCTTTGTGTTTAACAGCTTTATTGAAGTATAACTGACATGTGTAAAATGGACAATTTAATGAGTTTTTACATGCGAATATATACACGAATAAATGCATCACCACCAAGATAATGACTGTATCCATTATTTCCTTAAGTTTTTTGCATCCCTTTACAGTTGTTCTCTCTCCTCCCAAACTCATCCCCTGTTGCCCTTTGCCTATTAATGAGTTTTGATTTTTTAGTATTTTATAAAAATGGGATCATATTATAATGTATTTTTTTCTGACTCCTTTCAGAAACTCAGCACAATTGTTTTGAGATTCATCCATATTGTTGTGTATGTCAGTAGTTCTTTCCTTTTTTATTATTGAGTAGTGTTCATTGTATGGATTATACCATAACCTACAATGAACATTTGGTTAATTTCCTATATTTGACTATTAAAACTGTTATGAACATTTGTTTACAAGTCTTTCTATGGACATTTGTTTTAATTTCTCTTGGGTAGAGATACTAGGAGTTGAATGGCTGAATCGTATGGTAGGTGTATATTTTAACTTAAGATATTGCCAAACTGTTTTCTAAAGTGGTAGTACCTTTTTTACATCCGTAGAATTGTATTAGGGTTCTAGTTGGTGCAGAATTCTTGCCAACACTTAGTATGTTCAGTCTTTTAATGTTTAGCTATTCTAGTGAGTAGATAATGATACCATATTGTGGTTTATATTTCCCTAGTCACTAATGAAATGATATTGAGCATCTGATCACATGCATAATTGCTATATGCATATTTTTTTGGTGAAATATCTGTTAAAATTTTTCTCCAATTTTTTAATTGGGTTGTTTTTCTTTTTGAGTTAGAATTATTTATATATTTTAGATGTATGTAGTAAAGGAATCATATGTTTCACAAATATTTTCTACCTAGCCATGGCTTGTCTTTGCATTTTGTAACAATGTTGTTTGTTTGTAACCATACTTTTAAATTTTGATGTTGTTTAGCTTTTTATCTTTTATACTTCATAGTTTTTGTTTCCTGTTTAACAAATGTTGTCAATCCTAAAGCCAGTGAGATTTCCTCAGCTTTTTCCTAGAAGTTAGTTTTAAACATCATATTTAGTTTTATGATTCATTTTACCTTGACAGCTTTGTCAAAATCAGTTATGCATAAGTGTATAAATCTATTTCTAGTTTCTATTTCTTTGATATACATGTCTGTCGTGATTAGAGTAGCTTTATAATAAGTCCTGAAATCAAGTACTGTAAGTCCTCCAAAGTTGTTCATTTTCAATATTGTTTTAGAAATACTTTGGCTGGTTGGTTGGTTGGTTATGTGCTGTGGAGTCGGTTCCAACTCATAGCGACCCTCTACAGGGTTTCCGAGGCTGTAAATCTTTACGGAAGCAGAAAGTCTCTTCTTGCCCCCGCGGAACAGCTGGTAGTTTTGAACTGCTGACCGTAAGGTTCACAGCCCGATTTGTAACCACTTCACTACCAGAGCTGTCCATGGAATTTATATCTAAATTTTAGAATCAGGTTGTCAATTTCTACAAAAAAAAAAAAAAATTCTGCTGAGATTTTGATTGGAATTTCATAGAATCTATGAGGTTTTCTACTCCTGCAAAGATTTAAAGTCTTGAAAACCCTACACAGGGTTGCTATGAGTCAGAACCAACTCAGTGGCACTTGAGGACAACATCAACATAGATAAATTTGAGGGGGCAAATTAACATCTTAATGCCAATGCATTAGGATAAGCATGGACTGCTAACCACATGGTGAGCAGTTTGAACCCATCACTCCTCAGGGCAAAGATGAGGCCTTCTGTTCCCATAAAGATTTACAGTATTGAAAACCATATACAGGATCAAGATGTGTCAGAATCAACTTGTTGGCTTCAAAAAGTTTGTGGAAAAATTCCCATTATTTTCTAATTCAATTTTTCCATGAACTTTTTGAAATCCCCTCAAATATCCGTAAGTTTTCTCATTTGTATGATATTGGAAAGGATATTTTTATTTCAATTTCTAATTGTTTGGTCCTAATATGTAGAGTCTCAGTGTAGTGCTATAAAATAAGTAGTGGACTGTTAACCACAAGTTTGGCGTTTCAAACCCACCAGGAGTCCATTGTTGTTAAGTCCCATCAAGTTGATTCTGACTCATAGCATTCTTATGCACAACAGAACCAAACACTGTGTGATCCTGTGTCATCCTCACAGTTGTTGTTATGCTTGAGCCCATTGCTGCTGCCACTGTGTCAGACCATCTTATTTGGAATCTTCTTTTTTGGTGACCCTCCACTTTACCAAGCATGATGTCCTTCTTCAGGGAATGGTCCCTCCTGATAGCATGTCTGAAGTATAAGAAATGAAGTCTTATCCTCGCTTCTAAGGTACATTCTGGCTGTGCTTTTTCCAAAAAGAGATTAATTTGTTCTTCTCGAAGTCCTTGGTGCTTTCAGTATTCTCAAACACCATGATTCAAATGCATCGATTCTTCTCTGTCTTCCTGATTAATTGTCCAACTTTCACAGGCATATGAAAATACTATGGCTTGGGTCAGGCACACCTGTTCTCAAGCTGATATCTTTGTTCTTGAACACTTTAAAGAGGTCTTTTATAGCAGATTTCCCTAATGCAGTACAAGTGTGATTTCTTGACTGCTGCTTCCACAAGTGGTGATTGTGGATCCAAGCAAATTGAAGTCTTTGACAATTTAACTTTTTTCTCCATTTTATCATGTTATTATTTATTGGTACAGTTGTGAGGATTTTTGTTTTCTTTACATTGAAGTACAATCCATACTGAAGGCTGTCGTCTTTGATCTTCAGTTTATCATTAGTATTTTAAGTCTTCTTCCCTACCAGTAATCAAGTTTGTACGATCTGAATATCACCAAGTCCATATTTCCCAACTACTGATCATTACTCTTTGTTTCCCATATTTGCATTTCAATCACCAGTATTTATCAGTGTATCTATGTTGGGTGCTTGATCTATTTCAGACTGAAGAAGTTCATAGAAATCTTCAATTTCATCTTCACTATGTATGGTGGTTGGTGTATACATTTGAATAATAGTGGTACTAATTGGTCTTCCTTATAGACATATAGCTATTATCCTATTACAGGCAACATTATACTTAAAGAAAGATATTGAAATGTTCTTGAAGATGAATGTGACACCATTCCTTTTGGATTTGTTGTTCTTGGCATAGTAAACCATATGATTGTCTGATTTTAAACGACAGATACAAGTTCATTTTAGTTCACTAATGCCTAGGATATCAATTTATATATAAAAAATGAAATGCATTCCATTTCATTTTTGACAACTTCCAATGTTTCTACATGCATACTTTATACAGTCCATTTACCTATTATTAATGGATGTTTGCAATTGTTTCTTCTCATTTTGAGTTGTTCCCATCGGCAAATGAAGGTCCCAAAAGCTTTGGTCCATTCACATCATTATGGTCAACTTTATTCTACGGTAATATCTCTTCCCCTGTAGTACTTTGAGTGCCTTCCAACTTGAGGGGCTTATCTTCTGGCACGAATATCTGACAGTATCACCCTGCTAATAAAGATTTTCAACAGATAAACGTTTGAAAGTCGTCTTTCTCTCCTTCCTAATCTTAGTTTGGAAGCTCCACTGAAACCTGTATATAATGAGTGACTCTTCTGGTTTTTAAAACACCCATGAAATAGCTTCCAGCATCACAGAAACACGCAACCCACCACAGTATGACAGAAGAGTGGTGGTTATTTTTACAGGCATATGTAAATACATCTTTGTGTGTGCTGCATGTTGTTGTTGTTGTTGTTACGTGCCATCAAGTCGATACTGACCCATAGCGACCTTATGCACAGCAGGACAAAACACTGCCTGATCCAGAGAACAAACAAGATGGCAGATCAGGTGGAAGTGCAGTAAAGGAGCTCCGCCAACAACAACACAGAATAGCCAACCAAGCAGGCTCAGGTGCTGGTCCTAGAACTCTGAACCACATACAAAGGAATATTTAGAAGGTTGGAAGACTTACAGCTGGGGGAATTTGTGGCAGAAGCAAGAACTCTATTGCTTTCTGGTCCATAACGCTCAGCTGCTCCAAGAGCCGCCATCTTGGGTGAAACCACGCGGGGGAAGGATCACAGGGCCAGATGCCTGGCAGAACCACTGAGAAAAAGGTGTGGACATTCTTTTCTTTTGGTATCTGTTCATTGGTCCCTTGCTATCTGCGCACCTCCATTCTGGTGACTATAGAGGTGCCTATGATAGTGGGCACCCCAGACCCACCCTTGGAGGGTTCTACTCCGCATGTGCACAGATCTCCTCAAAATTTAAAGAGACAGTTTCCAATTAAAACCAAATGGCCTCAGCAGGCCCTGAACTGTTTGCAACTAGAAAAAAGTCCTGAACAGGGATTGTGGAGCGGGACAAGCAGACAAAAGAGAAAATAGGATGAAAATTAAACCCTAAGTTACGTCAAAACGACCAACAGTGGCATCTTGAAATTTCTCAAGAAGAAGACTGAAAAGGGAACCCTATTTCCTGATCACATCTACCTGGAGGCAATCAGAAAGCATAAAAAATACCAAAATACATACCCATCTAAGTATTAAATCCACAGATAACCCCTGAAGATGCCCAAAAAACAGAAGCAGATGACCATATCAGCACAGGTCCAGAAACGAGATGAAGTGACTG